AAACATCAGTCATACAACACGAGGCCTAAATAATCAAGTAACCAGGTCATACGACGTGCTTAGGGAACATTAACATAGTCCAAACATCAGTCACACAACACGAGGCCTAAATAATCAAGTAACCAGGTCATACAACGTGCTTAGAGAACGTTAACTTAGTCCAAACATCAGTCATACAACACGAGGCCTAAATAATCAAGTAACCAGGTCATACAACGTGCTCAGGGAACGTTAAATCACATATCCATCAATGTTTAGTTTAATGCTAGTTAACCAGTCCAATTTTTGTTAAAATAAATATTCGTGTTGATTCCAAATGTACACCAGTATTTATTTTTAAATATCCACATTATTCAACCCGATTTCTGGACTGTTTATTTAAAAATATACTACGTAATACTACACACCTCTTCTGTCAAGCAGGGATTGAAGGGGTACCCCTGGAGGCTGCGACCACAGCGCACTCTAGTGGAGATGATAAACTTTCCTGTAGGATCAAGATCCACCAAGGTATTGATATCACCCCATTCCTTTGCAGGATGTTTATCTGTGGCCTTGAAGCCGCCATGGTAGTCGTCGATGATGGGGTTGAACAGAGGGGCGAACGTTGTGTAGGATTCTGCATCAGGGGCGTAGATACCCACTCCACTGTCTAAGTTCTCGACACCTAGAGGTCGCAAAACGAGAATGTTAAATACTACGTTAAGAATAGGTTTTGGTTTCGGTACAAAATGAATATACCAAAAGGAAAATCGAATAACTTTTTATTATTTTAGATAACAACAAAACTAAAAACAAGATAGCTTCTGAAGGCTTATAAGTTAATTATTATTGTTATTACTTACATTATTTATCATTATTATTTATGAATGTGATTTATTGCAGATTTCAGAACTGACTGTTTTTGAATAAAACGACAACTCCTAAATAGGATATCTGTTTCCTCGTGACACAATAATTTTTCTATTTACTAGCCAGAGTTGGTGAAATGTCCACGTGTCGGTCTAAAGATTAAAATGTTATTTTCTGTTCATTATTACTTATTTTATTGACCAATGACAAGAGATACATGAAATTACACAGGTTATTTCTAAACTATAAATGCAACAGCTTGCTAATTCCATGCTTGAATGATACTTGAAATTGACGAGTTAATATATTCGCTTTAGGGGGCCGTTTTATAATCAATATTATTACTCACTGAATAATACAGATAAATAACGATTTACAAGCACAAGGAAGAGTTTATTCATGGTAAACATACTAACTAGAATAATCCAGTTACTTTTATTTTCCTCGACTGAACACCTTCGTAATTTCGAGAAAAATATAAATATATGTTATTTCTTAGATTAGGGGATTAAGTTTCATGGATAAGCTGTGTGATAGATTAGGGGATTAAGTTTCATGGATAAGCTGTGTGATAGATTAGAGGATTAAGTTTCATGTATAAGCTATATTTTAGATAAAGGGATTAAGTTTCATGGATAAGCTGTGTGATAGATTAGGGGATTAAGTTTCATGTATAAGCTGTGTGATAGATTAGGGGATTAAGTTTCATGGATAAACTGTGTGATAGATTAAGTTTCATGTATAAGCTGTGTGATAGATTAGGGGATTAAGTTTCATGGATAAACTGTGTGATAGATTAAGTTTCATGGATAAACTGTGTGATAGATTAGGGGATTAAGTTTCATGTATAAGCTGTGTGATAGATTAGGGGATTAAGTTTCATGGATAAGATGTGTGATAAAGTAGGGGATTAAGTTTCATGTATTGTTATGTAGATATGATATTTTCATCATAGGTAGGTACACGGAATATTGCTGGGCAGACTGGAGTAAAAATAATAATATCCTGAACAAACGTGAGTGAAGATAATAATATCCTGAACAAACGTGAGTGAAGATAATTAATATCCTGAACAAACGTGAGTAAATATAATAATATCCTGAACAAACGTGAGTAAAGGTAATAATATCCTGAACAAACGTGAGTAAAGATAATTAATATCCTGAACAAACGTGAGTAAAGATAATAATATCGTGAACAAACGTGAGTAAAGATAATAATATCATGAACAAACGTGAGTAAAGATAATTAATATCATGAACAAACGTGAGTAAAGATAATTAATATCCTGAACAAACGTGAGTAAAGATAATAATATCGTGAACAAACGTGAGTAAAGATAATAATATCATGAACAAACGTGAGTAAAGATAATTAATATATTGAACAAACGTGAGTAAAGGTAATTAATATCCTGAACAAACGTGAGTAAAGATGATAATATCCTGAACAAACGTGAGTAAAGATAATAATATCCTGAACAAACGTGAGTAAAGATAATTAATATCCTGAACAAACGTGAGTAAAGATAATAATATCATGAACAAACGTGAGTAAAGATAATTAATATCATGAACAAACGTGAGTAAAGATAATTAATATCCTGAACAAACGTGAGTGAAGATAATAATATCCTGAACAAACGTGAGTAAAGATAATAATATCCTGAACAAACGTGAGTAAAGGTAATAATATCGTGAACAAACGTGAGTGAAGATAATAATATCGTGAACAAAGTGAAATAACGATAACGTTTAAACTCTTCTCTACTAATTCTGTCGCTTAGAATGTTTAATGTTAAATAGAAACCATTGTAGAAATGTTGATTTCGTGTCTGTGTAAGTCAAGGATAGAAATCTAGCAATTGTACACGAGTGAAAAGGCTGGCATACTAGACGAAGTAACTAAAATAGAGGCAACATATCCCAGATCCCTTAAACGGAAGCGCGAAGAACCAAGAGGTTGAAATAGCAGTCATGCTGTGTTTCTGTACAGAATCTACAATGTGTATAGTTAAAACGCTTGTTTAGAAAGTTTTTTCTTTCATTTGTAGTAAGTAAGTAAGTAAGGAGGGTAGACGTTGCCGTGTGAAAGCAACGTTTCAACGCTACGGCATGCGTTAAAACGTCACTACCTGCGTTAGTCTTGCGTTACGATCTGCTTTACAAACCAGTGACTTACGTTACAACGTCACTATCTGCGATACAAAGCTATAACCTACGTTACAACATTACGATCTGCGTTACAACGTTTCGACAACTTCAGACAACATAGGCTTAACACCTTCAGGCAACATAGGATTAACACCTTCAGGCAACATGGCTTAGAAACCGCGGATGATTCTCCACATTGAAAAACAACATGACATGAAAAAGTAAGGTATGTGAAAAATCTTCATCTGCGTAGATAAGCCTAATTGGAATTTGCCAAATTAAGTTGAATTAAAATAACTGACAATGAAAGATGAGTTCTTTGAATATTAACATATTAATTGAACGTCACATTGAGAAAGTTTATTTATTTCTAAGGAAGATGATTTATAAAACAACCTTTGCTAAGATTAATTGTAATTTTTTAAGTGTGAATATTTAACATAGAGGTTAATTCATATAAGAAGCTTAGTCCTAACAGTAGCTAGCCCAGAGGGTTTTGAAAGAAAATCCAGTTTTGGACTGTTCGCGCCGTTACTTAGACAATGAATTCCGCTGGACTATGACAGTTACATTAGTTTTGATCGGGGGGGGGGGGGGTGGGTTTTTAAGCTCAAAGCTACACAATGGACTATCTGTGATGTACACACCACTGGTATCGAAACTCGGATTTTAGTGGTGATTGGTAGAAGGAAGTAATGATCTGTGTAAACAATACTGAACAATATATTCAATATTATTGATCAATGCTTATTGTAAACAATATATTCAACAATACTGAACAATATATTCAATATTATTGATCAGTATTTATTGTAAACAATATATTCAACAATACTGAACAATATATTCAATATTATTTATCAATGCTTATTGTAAACAATATATTCAACAATACTGAACAATATATTCAATATTATTGATCAATACTTATTGTAAACAATATATTCAACAATACTGAACAATATATTCAATATTATTAATTAATACTTATTGTAAACAATATATTCAACAATACTGAACAATATATTCAATATTATTAATTAATACTTATTGTAAACAATATATTCAACAATACTGAACAATATATTCAATATTATTGATCAATGCTTATTGTAAACAATATATTCAACAATACTGAACAATATTTCAATATTATTGATCAATGCTTATTGTAAACAATATATTCAACAATACTGAACAATATATTCAATATTATTGATCAATGCTTATTATAAACAATATATTCAATATTATTGATCAATGCTTATTGTAAACAATATATTCAACAATACTGAACAATATATTCAATATTATTGATCAATACTTATTGTAAACAATATATTCAACAATACTGAACATCAATATTGTTACTATTACAACTTGGTTAACATTGAACGTGTACGTAACGTTTCAGCGATAATCAACATTGTGAACTACATTTCAAGACGTCACTCTCACGGCTTACCCAGCATTAAATCTCTTTTTTTCATTTCTACTGTTCTCTCCACTCCATACAGACTCCTCGGGCAATATGGAATTTCTTAATAAAGGGTTCAAAGTACGAGAAATGTGATGGAGTTTACATTCGTTAATCAAATAATAATAATTTTTCGTCTATTATTTGCGTATTGCTAATATGGAAATAGTAACACTCACCTGATTGGATTACGTCAAGAAGTGTGGCTCCCATGGCCGTTTTCTTGTTTTTTGTACTATCAAAAACTTCCTTTGACAGATGCTTTTTGAGGAGAGACTTGCAATCGTTGGCTTCTTGGAGTTTCTTGAAGCCAGCTTCCAGTTTGTCCAGAGTTGCCTGTTCCACCATTTTGATCTAAAGTACGCAGATGCAGATATGTGAAGATCAATTTTCTATCAAATCTCTGCCCTCTACTTTTGCCCTTGCTTTAATAAAGGGTGCAAAGTATTCTGGGTAAAAGCCCCGATATTCCGTCACGTTGGTTTTAAACCAATAATGTTTGAGCTTTACGACCGCTAACTGCCTGAAGAAAGGGCATAGGACGAAAGCCCGGAATACATGTAAACCTGAGAACACCACTTTTCCATCTATTTATACCGAACTTAATGAATATTCGTCGGCCTCATTTTTCTTTTGTTCAGAACGCTTTGTCCTTGTTCTTAGTTCAAGTTCTTACGGGCAATTAAAAGTTGCTAATGGCAATTCCTTGTGAGACAGAATGTAGATCTGTAGTTTTCACTGTACAATATACAGGATTCAGTCATGTTATAAACCAAATGTTGTTTCCACTGATTCGGTCATGTTATAAACCAAATGTTGTTTCCACTGTCTGTAGTTTTCACTGTACAATATACAGGATTCAGTCATGTTATAAACCAAATGTTGTTTCCACTGGATGCACATTGTACAGCGTTTTTAAAGATCAGAAATAAACATTAATTATTTATAGTTTTTAGAATGTGCATGGATAAGGAGACTATAATAGCTACAATAACATTCTTATCTAAAATACAGTAAGTTGTTAAGAAATTGGGCATTTATTAAGTTAATTATTATCATTAATTTTTTTTTCAATAATTATGACAAATTATTCGGTCCATGGGGTCTCTTTAGGACAAAGCGTTAATCAGATCCAGCTATTAAAAACAAACATTTTAATTAAGCCTATCGGGAACCATGATTTTTTACTTTTACACCGTTTTAAACAATAACGATACTTCAACAATATAGCTGCACGTGGAAACGACAAAACGTCACAATACGTAATTCGTAACCTGTTTTAACTTACTACAGTTAACCATATTTTTTTTCTATTTTATATATTCACCATCCTAATCCAAATAGAAGTCTTGTTGTACCGAGCGTGGCCCAGTGGTTAGTGTTCTGAACTGTGGAGCTGAGGTTCCCTCTCTCCATCCAAATCGCGCTCTGTATTTTGGGGCCGCGAGTGCTTTATAAGAGTGAAGGTCAAATCTCATTTTGGGCCACGAAAAGAATAGCCTAAAAGTTGGTGGTGGATTGTGTTGACTAGGTGTATTCCTTCTAGTCTATCTCTTTAAAATTATGGATGGCTGGCGTAGATGGCCCTCGTGTTGCTCTGCGCAAAATCCACCAGACAAGGAATTAAGTGGTACTGAACTGTTTCTAGGATCTGTATTGTTGATATAATTATCTGGATACTGTCAATATTCTCACTTCAGCGTGTGTGAAAAGTACAGTTCATCTGTATTGTTGATATAATTATCTGGATACTGTCAATATTCTCACTTCAGTGTGTGAAAAGTAATGTTCATCTGTATTGTTGATATAATTATCTGGATACTGTCAATATTCTCACTTCAGTGTGTGTGAAAAGTACAGTTCAGTTTTCATCTGACTCTGAACAAATGTGGCAGAAAGGTTGGGTGTCCCACAATTCTTTGGTGAATGTAGTTCAAGGTTAAAGGTCACACAGAAGGTTATTCTCTTTTGTTATAATATTATAAAACCGCTAATTCTTTTTGGACTAGTCTTGCATGATCGACAGTGCGGGGTTCGTTCTTGACGGAACGGAGCGCGAACCATGAACTCTCGGAATCTGGGAACCCTAACTATTATGCCACATCAGTCACTTAACGCTTGGAATGGTCATTTTTTGTTTTATTTTGCTGAAACTCTGTCTTATGGTTGTCCAGAGTTGAACAAAAATAGACATAACTGACAAGAAGGAAAATTGCATGATCAGAAAGAACAGAATTATTGGGGTCAGTGTATCATTATTTTCTTTAGAAAAATGGACATGCAGAGAATCGTTTAAATTGTTTTCATTTGGTGTTTAGAGAATAAACAGTTCGCGTTGCTTTACTGCGATCTTAGAAAGTGGGTTAGGACAAAAGAGGTCATATGACTGACCTACAAATGCATGTGACCAGGGTAGCGTCGATGACCAAAAACAGGTTAATGGTCCTAAACTGTCCAAGTGAGAAACAAGGATATATTGACCAGTGGTTTGTATATAGTAAACAAGTATGAAATGAAAATTTTGTTTCTAACATGACAATTATTTGATCAG